ATATGCAACAGACAAAAAGCTGGTGCCTGTGGCATTGTGGCGGCCATGCTTGTTGGACGGTAACACAACATCTGCTACAGACTTTATATGCCAGTCCAGACCTATATAACTACTAAGAGTCCACCAAAACTTACACTGGACTTACACTTTAATTTTAGAAGTGTGGCACCCCGGAAAAATAAGTTCCAGCCACCAGTGGCGACTCTAGGAACAATATATAGGGGGGGCACATAAGATACCACAGTCAAAATGGGGGGGGGCACTAATAATTTTCACCACTAAAAAAAAATAAAGTAGTATATATATACGAGAGTAATGCGGTATGCGGTGATACCTTTTTATTGTACTAACCTAATACTTAGAAGACGAGCTTTCAAGAGTTTTTCTTTCTTCCTCAGGTATTGCTTCAGACTTGAGAAAGAGGAAAACAGAGAGACCAGATCTATGTCAGAGAGACGCACACTCCCCCAACCATGACAAGGTAATGCTCCATGAAACGGGATCCTTGTTTCTGCTTTGGTAATGGATGACACCTTCTTTATTAATGAAAAACTGACAGGTATAGTCATATAAAAAGTTTCTCACGGTTTGGGATTCGTGGATCTTATATGCACATCCTTCTCTCGCGTTGACGAATCTCTCATTGTAATGAGCTGCGGCTCTATTGTATGATGGCTGAGGTGCTTCTTGTTTTTCATCTGAACTTTTTACACTTTTATCCTATTGATCTTCCCGTTTAGTTTCTTCTATGCTGTCTCCTGGGTTTTCTGCACTTCTTCCCTCATTTTATGTTTGTTGGCACATAATGATGGGTTACAGAGGGAAGTTAATTGATGGTAAAGGTGGTAATCAACTACGCCGTACACTTCACTTTCTAAATCTTGCGATTTTGGATCACGTACCATGTTTTAATTTTTTCGAATGTTCCTATATCCTGTGTTACCTTGTACCACATGTTTACATGCTTATGGCTATTGAAATACTTGTTTTTATCACCTGTTCATTGCTGGGGCCTAGACCCAAGACTTATATGTTCTGTATTGTCTTGAATTATTACATTTTCTTGATCTTGTTTTGAAAATTAATAACAAATGATTGTTTTAAAAAAAAAAAATCCCAATGATGAATACTAGCAGTTTAGGTGTAACTATGGTACTAGAGTCCATCGCAAATGGAAGAAACTGAAGGAAGCGCAGAGCAGCCAATATCGCCCTTTTATGTACTAGAATCATCAAAGAGAGAATCACATTGGTTACTACGGGATAAACAATACCTTCATACACTTGGATAACCAGGGCTCAGTAAGAATTAAAATCCATTGATTAAGCATTATCACTTCATGTCCACCGTAAAGAAAAGCAATACAAAACAAGATTAAAACCAGTTTAAGCATGAGATGGCAGATGTAAGTAGTGGAAGGCAGATGTAGTACTAAAGCCTAAGTTCATTATTCTCTTGCAAAACAGTAAGTAAATAACTTGGAGCTTCTGGCATGTAAAACAATGTGACATTTATATGTTGGCAGTAGGATGGCATTAGCAAACAGTGCGCTGGATAAACAGAGGTACCCAGTGTATAAAAGTATACGCAAGACAGGTGATCACAGTGTAGTGCTGTCTGGTTTATAATGAATCTGTATGTGTATTAGGTGTGGAGCACTGGCGGAACTACCAGGGTCGCAATTGGGACCGGGCCCTGGCGTTCCGCCACTTGGGGGGGCCAGCAAGGAAGTAGAGGGCCCTCCCGTGATCGTTCCGCTCCTTCCCTGTCGCACAGCCACCCGCAGCATATACGGGCAGCTGTGCAAAAGGGCTGGAGGCTGTCACTGATCTTGGATAATTTGCTGGCCCCGCCTCTTAGGAAGGAGGGTGAGGTATAGATCTTGATATCCCACAGTACATTGGATCTCAAACACTGGACTAGGGCATAATCTCTTCTTGATCTTACCTAAGTCTCTCTAAAAGGTGCCCATACACTGCACGATTATCGTAAGATAATCGTATGCGATCGGTTTTTCGTACGATAATCGAGCAGTGTGAACGGAGACATGCGACCGTTTCTACTGTACGGTCGCACGTCTTCTGTCGAACCAGCATGTTCGAAAACCAGCCGGGAATCGTACGATTCTCGGCTGGTTAGAACGGTGCTCGGAAGACAAATGCCGTACAGGCCGGTGTGCGCACGCGCACACTGCCCGTTCAGCATTGCGGTCATCGGAAGCCTTGCGATGATCGAGAGTGCGATCTGCCTGTCCAAGATAGGCAGATCGTACGTTTTTTTAATCCCTGTACAACCATCGCAAGACTAAAGTCTTGCGATGGTTGTAGAGTGTATGGCCACCTTTAACCTTCATGGCAGTATTCCCGAGTGTAGCTCAGGGTTCATTTTCAGTACCAAGAGCAGTAACCTAGAGCCACACTCGGGATTGCACAAAAGTGTCCCTTACCTTGTCCCTTCGAGCCTGGGGTGTCCTCTGATGTACGCGGCTGGCCGATGCCAGCATCTGACTTTTAGTTTCGTTTTCGTTGTCACAGCGGGGGGCGGAACCGGCGGCAAATTCAAAAGTGAAAACATGCAATATACACAGAATACACACAATACAATGTAATCGGCTATAATTACATACATGTATCAAACTATTTCACTTCAATTTTGTCCCTAGAGCTTTGTCCAGTGCCCTGCCTCCATGGCATCCAAAAAGCGTCCCTTTAGGTCAAAAGCGGTTTTAGACCAGGTAGAAAACAGCGATAGTAAATTAGAATCCCTTGCAGAATTGAGCGATAGAGATTAGTTGGGAAATTCGCCATCAGACACTGAAAGTGACGAAAGCGACGATTCTGCGACCGAGCTCAGTGATGTGCGAACTTGGAACTCTATTGACTGTGGTACGGATCATGCAGCGCCCCCAGAATTCCCATTTACTGGACCATTTTTTAAATTATTATATTGTAATTATTTATAATTATTTATTATATTATAATTTATGATTTCGTGTTTCAAACATTATCATATCCGGGATGTCTACTGGACTCTTGTTTGGACAGATTTAGGTGAGTTATTCCTATTTACTAAGTATTACAGGCCTACAATATAATACAACAAATTGCCATGAAAAACAATGTACCGCTCTGGCATGCTAAAATCCTGAATAATCACAGGATTTTAGCATTTCCAACTCTTGTAGTCAATGAGAAAACCCCTCTATATGTTCGTTATGTGTTCCAATTCACATAGCATACTGAAAAATAACTTTTTTTTTAACAAAAAGTCTTACCTTTTTAGATGTTTTGTTAAATCAGGCAAGATGGCAGATTCCAGTTTTTTTTAGCCCTTTTACAGTGATCTGTCCTTATAGAAAGACTTGGGACTGAAATGTGAGGTTTGTGTTTATCTGATAAGCTTCATAAAGCAATTTCAAATGCAGAAAGCATTTTTATTTATGATGATATGTGGGGCTGTCTTCATCCACACCTAACACCTTTAGTGGTTCCTCCTAGAAGGGGAGATCCCTGCATCTTTCCATTTATTTAGGCCCAAGGTCAAGGAAAGATTGACTTCTAAGCTGACATCCTCGTAGGGTAAAAGCAGAACAAGAAGTGGCTCACATAATTAATAGTTCTCACAGCATGTGTCAAAGTTCCACAGGCTCACTGATTGGCCAGGGTATCAGATAATCATAACAAGAATCAGATCTCTCTAGCATACCAGGATGGATAAAGCTCACACAACCTGTGCGGTAGAAATTACACATTGTGCATAGAGATACAGTTAGACTGGGTACAGCCTACTGCTGACTACAGAATTCACAACAATACAAAAAGGAATTTTGGAAAAAATACCACATGTTTACACTACATTACAGCTTACTAATTGCTAATGCCCAGTCTTCAAGTCTGCTGACTATTGTCATCCACTCAGTGATCCCATCATTGCAGATGCCATGAGACCAGCCAGACATGTAGCATTCCTAGTCTGCCATGTTGCTATTCCTATTCTGTACAAAGTTGTTGTTTTTCTTTATTTTTGTTTCTTTTCAGGGGGGGTATATCTATTAGTGTGTAATGGAGCTTTGACTGTGTAGGTACAAAAAATTGTAATGCCTTAAGAGATCAGGAAATGCAGCATAAAGCCACCAGCAAAATACAAGTGTATTTAACTGGACTTTGTCCAAAATGCTATGTTGTGAAATACACTAGAAGAGCAAGAGTATATAACTGCAAACAGCAAATAACGAAATAGGGCACATTGCTGGCTATAACACTAACCCTTCAGTTCCCGAGGATTTATTTTCTGACTACTGGACCCCTTTAATGATTTCTCATTCTGCAAGCTCTAGTGACAAGAAGCATGGGACGGCTTCCTTGTTAAATCGGGAAGCCGGGTGTCGAGTCAGCAGGGGCCGCCCCTAGCCTGTCTTTGTCGTGTGCCTAGCATCCTTCTCCTGCAGGTGGCGATATACCCTACAGTACAGGATCTATGATCTGTTGCCCTGTGTCCTTCAATGAACGGAAGAGAAAAGGCTAGAACAAATATTTCACTAAATGCCATTAGGGTTTACAACCACTTAAATGGCACAAATTTGGATATCACTCCATAGGAAGCCAGTAGTTCCATATATGTAACAATCGATTAATACTCCTAGTGAGTAATGAACTATCTTGCTAGTAAAATTGCTGTGTTCTCCTAACCTTTATGCCACTTAACATTGTTTTGAATTGATGAAAAACTGATCAGTTTTAAACACTTTTTTTTACTGTCCTAAAAATGTATGTTGCTGAAGGTTTGTTTAAATGATTAAAATGCATGAATAAGATTGGTTTTCTTACAAATCATATACACCTTTATAAAACTGTCCCATATTCCTGTTGTCCTGTGATAAGGGTGGTAGCAGAGAAGTTACAGAAAGATAGCAGACTAACCAGTCTGTGAGCCAACATTAACAGAAGACACTTGAATGTGACTCTTGTGATAACGAACATTGGATGCGTTCATTGAATTGCATGTGAAACATGTACACTAGGGTGACAAAATGCAAACTGTTGAGTGAAGAGAATGTTTGGTAGGAGTTTGTGCCTTGAATGATCACAATGCTTTTATGTAATGTAAATGAAACAGCATTGTTTAATATTATTACATGGAATTATGTGCTTGCATAATGGATGAACAACTGTCTGAAAACAAAGCCTTGCTAGCATTCCAAATGTTCGAACGCAAAGAGGTGGGTAAATGCGTGAAGTGCTCAATTGCAGGCATGTCCTAGTGGTGCTCCGAGGTCCTCCGGGATTTTAGAGGTATTATTGACCGTCAGGCATTTACATTAGCTTGCCCCAGCTTGCCTTAACCAGCACAGCTCTACTGCCATCCTAACTATGCCTCCACCAAGCACATGGACCAAGCAAAAGGGCAGATCTATCAAGGAGGCCCTAGCCTGCATGGCTACCAAGATGGCACAGATGGAACTGGAAACCCTGTGAAAGGCCTCACCTCTACGCTTGAGTGAGGGAAATGTCAAAAGTAGAACAAGTTCCCCCTTGCCCTCACCAAAATCTTTGGTACATTGCAGACTCCTCCAATGCAATGACCGCATGCTTTACAAGGCCCTGCTGGCTACATCAGAGCCGATAAACGTACACACGAGACACGTGAACTGCGCTAAAGAACCTCAGACCGACAAACTTACCTGTGAGACATGAGAACTGGGCCAAAGAACCTTAGTCCTGGAATCGCACATGGAGGTAGCAGCTTCAGCCCTAAATACCCATATCTGAGAGCTTGAAGCTTTAAAAAGGTCCATAACCAACAGGTGCCGCCACTCAAATCTCTGCATCCACGGGCTTCCTGAGTTAGATTGTTGACCTGCAGGCCACAATGACAGCGCTGTTCAGGAACTCACACCACACATCTCAGTCAAGCACCTCCTATTACGACACATACATTGTGCCCTGACCCGGCGACAGATGGCCTACCATGAAACATAATTATCAAATCTTTCTACTCTTGCACCAAGGAGACCATATTGCAGGAGGCCCAACAAAAAGGACTTTCTCAACTTCCAGGGACATGACTACCAGGTCTTTGTGGACCTGACACCTTCCATACAGAAGAAATGGGAGATCAAGTCAGCCTTGAGGATCATCCAGCAGCATGGCATCACCCTACATGTGAGGGCTCTCCTTCCAACTTTTTTTCTCTCACCACGGGCATCAATATTAGAACTCCACCTTGGCAGAGGCCCAGCAGTCGCTGGAGAACCTCGGGCTCACAGCACAAAAATCCTTTGTAACCTCTTCACCTCCGATAACAGAGTGGCGATCCTCAGTACCTCACAAGGCCACAGTCTCCAACAGATGCCCTGCAACCTCATCATCACTCCATATAGGCCTCTCCCCACTCCGGTTTTGACTGCTCTGGCTGAGAGACCCCGCATGGATGCTGACCAATGACTTACTCGGATGACTGCTCTCCCACAACCAGTTTAGAAAAGTCATTCTAGTTCATGAATTTTCGTTCCTCAATTGCTTCCTACAGCCTGATATCGGGCATAGCCCAAAACCTTGGTTTTAAGAGCTTATTGGTGGCTTGCTATTGGCTGTAATTGTTGGCAAGAACAAAAGAGCTTATACTCCTGTGACTCTGCTAGGCAATTCGCCCTTCACCTTTGATAAGTGCGATGCACTTTCTATATGAACATACTGGCGATTTGTCAAATGGGGACTTTTCATTAAGCTGCGCCATAATTTCAGAAAGACTGTAGTCATAGCTGGACACAAGGCTAGACTTTACTTTCTGTCTTAGAACTGGTGTTCTTATTGCTGTTTGCTTAACAGCAATAAGAACAGCAATAATTGCAACCTTTTTTCTTATCACCGTTTGTGAATTGCCTACCCAGTTCCATGATACACCATACTCTACTTTGCAGGTCCCAGACACAGCCAGTGTTAATTTATGTATATGTCTGTTATTGCATAGTTCTATAGCCACCTCAGGTACCCTAAACCCTTGACGTATGGAATATACCATGATCTGATGCTCCCTTAGGTGTCTTGCTGTGATTTAATTGTTTCTGACATTTGTTAGCATCATATTATTTTATATACGAGTTACTGCTCCCTCCTCTTCACCCAATGTGCGGACAGATTGACCACCTTTTGAGCCCTACTCTGCCTGGATATGACCAGATTCCGGCTACGCAAAATTCATGGTGTTCATGTTCCATCAGCTTGCCTTTGCTTGTTCTATTATCATATTACCCTCCATCTTTACCTTCTCCCCCCTCTCCCCCCACCCCCCTCCTCT